TCCCTCAGCTATGTGGCTGATCTCCCATGTGTCGGGTGGGTCAGTGGCTTTATTTCTCCTTGCTGTCTGATAACCTGCATGGCTGCTTTAAGGTTTTCTGTCTTCAAATGCTGAAGGAACAGTTTTTTTCCATTGCTTTGTTTAACAAGATTTTTAACAGTTATAGATTCAGCAATTTCAGACCACTTTTCAGAGCAGCATATGAAGATTTGTAGCAAATCCCATATCAGTTTGGTTTTATTTGCCCACGGCTTCTTGGGTGGGTCAGGGGGTCTCCCTATATAATGAAGTGTGACTCAGGACCGATGTAATGACTCAGGAGAGTGAACGGGATGCTGGGGCATGCACTCTGGACTGCACCAGGTCATCAACTTAGTCTGTAAGCCTGGCTGTGAAAAGACTGGACAGAGCTTACTTTTCAGCAATGTCTTGTCTCACTCAGGAGTCCATGTAGACATAGCCTTGGAAAATGTTATAGGGGAAACACAGGAAATAACATGGAATGGGAATATCTTGAAGCAACAAGTGCAAGGAGACCTAATTCACACCAGATTAACAGGTCAACAGTGTGTAATATGTTGCACGTATTATATGACTGATAGTCCTATTTATTGTAAGAGGTCATCTGGTTTCACCAGACATGGGATAAACCATTATATTTTAGTCAGTGTGACTGCGCTCAATGATTTCCAGTCAGAATAAAAAAGACAATAGAAGTGTTCCTTCTATATATTTGCAGAATGCAACATAGAGCTGTTACGTGGAGCACATTCACATCCTTGCAAAGCTATCATTTCCCTTCCCTCAGAAAAGCCAGCCAGGAGTGTTTCATGCTTCAGGATTTCATAGACGTTAGGGCTGGAAGGGACCTCAGAAGATCATCGAGTCCAGCCCCCTGCCCCAGGGGCAGGAAGTCAGCTGGGGTCAGAGGATAAATAGCTGCCATCTAGTGATCTGACTGCAGAGCATTAGTTGGGGTCAGGACCCCCATTCTAGCTGTGAATACTGGCTTCCAGTGGCCTTTGGTTTGTTCCCTTTCCCTTGTCTCCATTTTCCCAGCTGTAAAAATGGTGGTGAAGATGTTGGTCGTACAGAAATCAGGGATTCCCACCTTCAATAATTACCAACCTGAACCAGGTAGAACACACCTCTCAGCAGCAAGATCTGAGCTGCATCATTTATAATGACATGACATATTAAAGCTATTCCATTATTGATTGGTGCACAAACATAGAGTTCAGGAAATCTGTGGATTACTCATTCTCGTTAAACTGATTTATTGCTAAATGCATGAATGCACACTGGATTTAAACATTTCTATCCAAGCTAATTATATGTCAAACTAACTGTGTCAACATATTTATAGTATTTTCTTTCCTCAGAACACCACTCTTGCCAAGTAGTATTTTATAATCTGATAGGGAAAAAGTTATGTGGTTAAAATCAGTATAATCAAAATAATGTGGGACTGACATAGAACAGGATCACACCACTGAATTTACAAATACAGGCCAGTCAACTGAGACATGACAATGTCACTTGAAATTTTGCCATGCCAACAAGTTATGTAGCTTTTTCAAATTAGCCACTGGCTGAACAGGACCCCAGCATCGCTAGACCTAAAATAGAAAAAAACACATTGCATGTAATGACTGATGGAACAACATGTTTGAGGCCAGATGTAAGACATTGAGGACCCAAGACACTGACACATCTATAACTTAGCACCTGCACTCATATTGACCAATCTTGTATGTGCAAATCATGCCTCAGACCAGGGTTTGTCTGCAGATCCCATCATGTGCTGGGGCAGGGGTGGGCAAAGTCTAGCCCACAGGCCAAATCTGGCCTGCAGTGGACTCCATTTCTGAGCAGCTCCTATGACGGCAGTTCCTTCTGGATGCTGCTGTGCTGCCCGGACATCCTGGCCCGTCCACCCCGCACCCACTGCCAGGGGCAAGACCCACATAGGCAGGGTGTGTGGCTGGGCAGCTGGGATGGGGCTGCAGCCAGGAATAAGATGGGCAGGCAGGGCCTGGGAGACCCTGGGATCTTGGGGCAGTGACAGCGCGGGGGCCAAAGCAGAGCTGCAATCCACTGCCCACATGCCCCTGTGATGAGCCTGGGTTCTGCAGGCAGGGGCATACATAGAGCGATTGCATCTGACCCGGCCCAAGCCCTGTGCCCTCACTGCTCCAAGATCCTGACCCCAGAGCAGCTGCCCACCCAGCCACGTGCCCTGCCTGCATTGCTTCTGGCTGTTCTCCATGGAGATAGTAGGAGCGTGGGGCCATGACAGCGCAGGACCAGGCCAGGCTGGGGCAGAGCCCTGGTTCTGCAGCCCCATGCTGTCATGATTTGCCAGGGTACTGGGGTGTGCTTGCCCCGTTAAGTGTGCAAGCAGCCAGAGGGTCAGGTAACAGAGGTCACCTGAGCATCAGGGGGCTAGGCTGGAGCTATATCAGCCTAAAGCCTCAACTGGCCAGGCAGTCAAGCTTGGGAGCCATGCAGCAAGGAGCTCCTAGCAGCAGAGCAGCAGGCTCCTGAAGTTGTAGTGAATAGGGTAAGCCACTCTGCAGTCCTTGGGAGCAGGGGAAGCTTACCTGAACAGCAAAAGACTGAGTTTGTACAGGCAGGGGTCCTTTATTTTCTTACCCAACTTAGAGGGAGTTGGAGTGTTTGCCAGAGCACTGAGATACTTCTATTTAGTGCACCAGTAGTTTATCCTGGAGTCCTGCTAGGGATGAATCCAGGCCTACCCTGAAAACCAGTAGCCCAGGAGGGGCTGAGACTCAGGCCCAGCACTGAGTGGGGCACAGCAGGAGTCCCACAAGAATAGTGAAGGGCTAAGACTTGGACCAGTGGGTCCACGAGCTCAGAGAAGGGTCACAACAGAGGGCCCAGGAGTCCAAGAGGGGATGCGAGCCAGACCAGAAAGTCCAGGAGTCCAGAGAAAGAGTAGGAGGCAAACTAGAGGGTCCCCAAGCCCAGAGAGAAGGGACTGCGTGTGGGACCAGGGTTTCTGCAGTACTCAGGAGGGGAGTGAGCGCGAGAACAAAGAATCCAAGAGCCCAAGAAGCGCTGCATGTGTGACCTGAGGGTCTCAGAGCCCAGAGGCAGGCTACACAGGCGACTATGTGTCTGAGAGCCCAGAAGGAGGAGCAGAAAGTATTGAGGATCCCAGAAAAGGGTAACCAGAAGGAACAGTAGTTGACATCATTGAATGGTAACACCTGCAAGGCTTGGGGCATGGGGCAGAATGGAGCAGCGCAGTTAGCCCTTAAGGGTACAGTTGCCCTACAGAGACACGGGCAGGTAGAGAGGGTCTATTAGATGAGTGGAGGTCCAAGAGGGACCCAGTGGCGATTTGTACTGATGCAGGCTCACTCTGAGGCCCTGGGCAGCCTCCTTTATTTAACCTTTTAATAAGAACAAGGTGTGGAGGTGAGTGATGAATGGAGGTTTACCTTAGGACTGAGCTAGGCAGGAGCCACGGGACTACCAGGGAGCATCACAGCCACCCCATGGCATGGACCTGCCACACCTGGCTCTGCGCTGTCACAGCCCCGCACTCTTGGGGTCTCAATGAGGGCCGGCCAGGAGCGGCATGGCAGGGGCTGCTGGGAAATGCTGTCAGGTCACTGGCCAGATCTGCCATTTTGCCTGTGCTGGGGCATGTCATCAAGGTTTCTGTGCACACAAGTGGATAGCTTTTTGGCACTGACATTTGTCTCATGGAAGGTTATATGGGGCTGTTTGGGTCAGTCCTGCTGCCATATTTTAGGCCTGCAGGCTGCCTTTCTAGTGAGAAAGGAGTAGAACTAGTATATGTCTTTATACATCAGAATGTGTCTTGCTAAGACTCTGTTGCTCTCATTGCTTTGGATTTATAGGACTGAGTTCACATCAAATTGCTGATCTGGAAAATATGGCCCTCTTTTGGGACTGCCCTGCCCCTGTTTGTCAGGTTTTAAAGTTCAGGTCCCGGTGTTTCTGCTTCTCCCTTTCCCTTGTCATTCAGCTCCTGGGAGCATTTGACACATTTTTTAAAAAACAGAAGGGCCTTGATGCCCTGGCCCCTTTCACCGTTGTAATCACTTGCATCTGTGCAAAGGGAGTTGGTAGCCATACGCTTTTGGTGGGATGCTGCTGCTTGGCTATTTTGCAAGGGTGCAAATAATAGCACAAGATGCCACACAGTGCACAATTTTGGCCGAGGGTTTCTTACTCTTGGTTAGCATCTGTGCAGCCACATGGAAAATCTCCCTCAAATTTTGAGGCCTGGGCTGTGCAGAGAAGCACTCTGCAGTTTCCTTCTGGCTCCTTTCGGAGCTGTCCATGCTGAAAGAGCCTCAGGGCTCTCGGTGGTGGATCTGTGAGGAGGGGAAAGAAGGTTACTGATCAGAAGATCTGTAAACTAGATCTAAATGTTGAGACATTGAAATCCAAGATGGCTAAAGATTATGTAGGGAAGAAGGTTATTTGTAGGGAACAAATTTGCCTTGAGGTGGGGTAGGTGGCTCTCTTAACATCTGTGATCCTTTGATGTAGGGAACTATACATCTGCCTCTACCCGCTTAGAAATGGGTTTGCACATCAACTGCTCTCCCACATGCCTGTGACTCTAACCAAAAATGCCAGCCTCGATACTAAACCATCGCCAAGTAACCAGCCATTCCTCTCTCCCACCCTGCCCATCTAACCGCTGGCCTGCCAGTGCACCGCTCCTGCCTGCATGCCACCAGAATGAACGTGCGCTGCTTTGAACTCCGATGCCGGCCCAAATGGGAACCTTTGTCTCTGCAGGAACATTGAAAGGCAGACGTCACCCCGTGCTAGCCACGGCTGGTTATTGTTTGGGTTTTTCTTTTTGGTTGAAATGTCTCTCACTCCCTGGAGTTTTTGAGTTCGCCGTCTTTGGGTTGAGTTTGGATTATGCTTTGCTTTGTGACCGCTCTCCCTTTTTTCTCATTTTGTTTTCTCCACTCTTCTCATTGGAGGCAATGAGCCGTCCAGCGGTCGGAACTCCCCTGTCCCTTATCGGCCAGACAGCCGCCCTCTAACTCCAACTTACGCTCAGGCCCCTAAACATTTCCATGTTCCAGGTAGGAGCTGGCACTGTGTGTGTCTTGGTGTCCTGTCACAGTGTAGAATGTAGCCTTTGTAACCTCTGTCTTGTCTCCATTATTTCACGCTGTTTTTATCTGAGGTTTGCACGCAGTCTGATTTCAATTGCCTGCCTCTGAGCTTTGCTGAGAGGAGCATTGTGCAGAGGGATGGAGGGTCCCTTTCTTGCCCGGTCTGTCAAGTCTCTCAGCATGAGGATGCCATATGGTTCAGCTCAGTTAGTGGAGAGTATGATGGATGTTGGGGGCTGATTCTTCTCTTGTTTTCATCAGCTTGTTACCCTAGTAATGCTGCCCAGTTCAGAGGAGTGACTCCTGATTTACACCGGTGGACAGGACAGGAGAATCAAGCCCTGAGCATTTATGATGCACTCTAGTAACAGTTAATTCAAACTTTACTCTTTATTGTCACGTCTGACACCTCCTTGATTGTTTTGATCTAGAGCAAAACCATTTTAATTTAGGTTGTAGGGTTTTTTTAATTGAAGGGGGAAATTTCTTTCGTAGAATAGCGTGTCTTCCCCAGAGCTGCAAAGATGCATATAAGCCAGTGTGCCCTTTTTGCAAGGGGAATTCTTCGTTGTGAGAAATAAGGGCCACTTTACAGTCTCTGAAAAGGTCTTCTGTTACCATTTTCTATGTTGATGACATGAAAGTATGTGTCCCTAGGCATAGTTTTCCAGATTAGGCAGGTGTGAAGATATGGCACGATGATATGGCATGATTTAGCTGTCCTACCAGTGTTTATAGTCATTTGCTATTCAAGTAGAGGCACAGTAGCAGATATACTAATAAAATGTCTCTGTGAGCTCTGAATTTGCCTATTTAGCAACAGGTGGAGAGTGTAGTCACGTAGGAATTATTCTTATCCTCATTTTCATAGATTTCTAGGGCTTGCTTTCCCTCACACCACAGATAAAGTTGTCCCCATTAGCATGTCAATAGGACACATTATATGCACTGTGTACTTTTAAAATGTATCTGTGACACTTCACCAGAAACAATACAATACAGTAGCAAACTGGTTAGTTTGCAATGCAAATTCCCAGCACCTAAGATAACTCAGGCTTATAACAGGATTCTGATCCTTGGTTTTTCACTAATTTGGGGCTTTTTATTTGGGAAGAAAGTAGAAGGTATTCCTTCAGCCCCTTTTCCTGTTTCAGACCTAGTATTTAGTAAAACCTTTAAATTCTTCAAAATGTACTGTAGAAACCCTGTATAAGAGCTCTGGGATTTGCCACTAAAGTCTAATGCATAAGGGTGTATGCTATGTAGTATCTCTTGCAAAAAATGCATTTCTAATCTGTCCTTGTGGGGTGTGATATTAGGACCATCCTAGGTAGCATTTCTTAGAGTATTCCTGTGGCCCAGTGCAGTCTTGTAGTTGACTGTTAAAATATGCATGTCCAATGGATTTTAATAGAAATTGTACCTTCACTGCTTTGTTCCACACTCAATCCAACCCCTAGGTTGGGAGGGAAATTGAGCTCTTATGGCTAAAGCTCAATTTCTTATGAAAGTCATTTGGGGTTGTTTTCCCCCAAATTACTTACGTCTCACTACTGATATATCTTTGCCTATTGATATATCTTTGTTGCTTCCATTTCTTCTCTAACCCTTATCCCACTAATCAACTTCTAAATATTCAAATGAGTGGGTCATGAGTTTGGTTCATCAACATGTTGCAGAATAAATGCCAATGAATTTCATACCCCATGTCTGTGACTTTTCACCTGTTTGTGTATTTTCTGTTCTTTGAGTAGCCCAGCTCTGTGTAATGCTAGAGTTAGCTTTCTGGCTTCTTCTTGTGCTAAGTCCTTGGTTTGATTTGTCTAGTGGTTTAATGTCATGATTTTTCTTTTTTTTTTCATAGCTGAACGGATCCTTGTATATTCACACCTTTTTTTTTTTTAATTCCACAGATCAAGGGGTCAACATTTACAGAAAACCACCCATCTACAAACAGCATGGTAAACCTTCTTTCCTCTCTATGTTTCTAAGTAGGAAACTCCACTCAATTAAATCTACACAGCACAGGATAAAAAGCACTAATTAAAAATGAGAATTTCTGATTTAAAAAGAGCTCAATTGCTCAAGCAGCTAGGGAATTACATGGTTGAAAAAAATATATAATTTGCCCAATGTAGATGGCTTGGGTGAAGTCTGTAGCAACACTCCCTTTGACCTAAACAGGGCAAGGATTTCACTCAGTGCCTTTAACATGATGCATATACCCTAGCTATGTCTCATGGCTTTGAGTTTATTTTTCCAGACTAAAGGAGTTCATAATGGTAAGACTAATTTGTCATTTTTCAATATGGTGAAACAGATCTTGTTCCTTTTGTTTTGGGCAAATAAAGCACTGCCCTTAGTTACCACATTAAATGGACAGATTCTGATTAGTGGGCTAGTATTCCAAATGTGTATTTGCTTAAGGAGCTAGGAATATTTATAATTTTTGAAGATTTTGCAAGTGACATTTCTCTGGTGGGGGCTGATTTGACTGTCAAAGCCAGCGAAGAACCTTGGATAGCAAAGTCTGTTTATTTTCCCAATGTCCTGTTACAGAAGTTAGTTCATACCAGTGATATTCTAATTTCCTTCCAAGTTGGCATTGTTTCTGCATATGCTATAACGATGGTATGAGCAGCTGGTTGACTTGCCGCACCCTTATGCTATGGAGCATGGTCCTTGTTATTACTGAACATATTCCTCTTTCTTGTAAACTCAGCACTGTTGATAGGATTAGCCACTTTTTTATTTTGGTGAAGGGCACCATCCTGTTCTTTTCAAGGGTTTTTCATTAGCTTCTGGAGACCTTTCACTCAACATAATTTCTTTCTGACATTAAGCAGCAAAAGACCAGTAACCATAGGTGTTAGATGAGTAGCCAGTGGAGAGTAACAGAGTTCATAATGAGGAAAAAAACCTGTGAAGGTCCCTATGATGGATTGAGAAACGAGAGTTTCACAGAAAAAACACTGCTGTCGATGTAGGTCATCTTTTGTTAATTTTTCTTTTTGTTTTTTACCCATCTGCTTGTTTTAATTTTTTTAATGTTATTTTTGTTTGTTTTTTATGGTTTTATTGTGTCTTCTCACCCTCCCATTAACATGAGAATGTTTAACTACTGACCTCACCAATTCTAATCCGTAAGTACTGATCGAAGTCATGCTTTTGTAATCCCCAAGCAGCTACCCCACATTTTGTGTGTGTTTATACGTAGAACCTCCTCTATTTTAAAAATTTCTAACATTCTCCGCAAACACTAATACTGATACTACCCAAATAGCCTGAAGGGTTTGGATGAGCTGTTCCCTTAATTTTAATGGGAATAAGGCTACCCCACTCTCTTGTGTTACTTAGATAATCTCAAGCCAAAGTGCTGAACATTAAGAAGGTAAAGCTGAAATGAATCAGTTCTTTAAACATTTCCTTGTTTTCTCGTAGCAGACACTGTTTGTTGAAAAGAGGTCCAAGAATGCTGCCTCTAATTTGATAATCTAATACAAAATGAATTGATTCAGGCGAACATTTTGCATATTAAGAGATAATTAGGGTGTCATAATATAAAGTAAATCATATTGGATTTCTCTGGTCTGTTGTCATCAGGTGAAACTCACAGTGTGCATCTCCATATTTTAAAACACTTAAAAAATTTTCGCCCAGACTTCAGTCTTCAGTTAATGCCGTGCTGCTGAGAGAAGATTCTGGGTTTCCTTTGGAGTACTTGATAACTTTTGTTTCCTGGTGACTGCACATGATGAGTTGGTCTGGATGGAGTTTACTATTTATAATAAACTCAGACCTGCTTTAGCTACTACTGAGCAGTGAATTAGTACATGCAGCATAGATGTTCCAGTGATAGATGCATTTGTTTATTTACTGTAAATTCCTTTGACCCTACAATTTTTTACGAAGGGATAGGAGATATTTTTAAATGCAGTACATTTCAAATTAGTAGGACTGCACTGAACTTTCCTTGTATTCTTGCTCAAAAGGGAAGAGAACCAATGCACTGAACTCTTAATTAATGATCAGCTATCATAAGATATTGTCACATACTGCTTGCTATATGTGCTTGCATTCTCTTTGTCTAAGAATTCGAAGAGTGTGCAATTCTAATAAAATCCAGGGTTTTGTGTGTCGTCTGCTTATATTTGATTCTAAGACATTAATAAGGGGAAGAGTTTAGTTTGTTGCAATTTGGAACAAGAAAGGCAAAGAACAGTGCATATACTTCAAAACTGATGGTTATACTCTATAAAATGTTGCCAAAGTAAGGAAAGCCATGACATTGATAGAGGTTGTAACATAGCTAAGTTCCCCTGATTGCCATCTAGATGCAGCTGCTTTGGCAGCACAGAGCAAGTCCTCCGAGGATATCATCAAGTCCTCCAAGTTCCCAGCAGCCCATGCGCCAGCACCCAACGAGATACCAAAGATTGAGACGGACCACTGGCCAGGTCCTCCCTCCCTTGCGGCCGTAGGTATGCAAAAAGAGGAATGATCTAAGTGATGTGGATTTAAGAGGTACAACTAAATGACTCAGACTTGTCTTGAAACTGTAATCTCTTGGGGTCAGGAAATCTGTCTGCCTGTGTTTGTTCACCACCTAGTACAATGAGGCCTGGGTCCAGTTTGATCTCTGGGCATTCATGTACCACAAATGTTTAATGAAGGAAAAAGGTTTGACAAAAGAGCATTGACACTGTTAACACGGATGTTAATCTAGAAAGGAAATACATACATTTCCTGTACAAATGCTTATGAACAGAGTGACTTCTTGAAAATACCACAGAAGCCTGACTTCTTTCAGTTATTACTTATTTCATCTTCGAATTCTATGTTAGCGGCAGAGATATAGCAGTGGATGTCATTTCTTGGACCACAAAGCCTTTTTCAGTGGCATGGAGCACTGTGGTCACACAGGCGGCTTCCAGTTCAGGCCACGTCAAGGCGTGTTTTCTGTCCACCCCATTACCACAGAATATATATACATATTTGTTTTCTTCCACATTGTTATGTCTTGGGTGTCTCATATATCGTGTTTTCTTTGAGCCACATACACAATCCTATTTTGTTTTAGTATTGTATCTGTCATCTTAGCTGTGCCTGTGCTGAGTCCCACCAGAAGAGATCTGCACGCCTAACTTAAATGTTCCAGGGATGAACAGACACTCGAATGTGATTATGTCATGAAATCATGTCCCCAGCACCGGGGGTCCTCAGCCATTGCTTCTGTTTTCTGTTGAAGAACTTAATGTTTGTCCTATGATAGTGCATTCAGTGTAACAATTTGGAGACCTCTGCCAGGGTTTAGAAGCTCGTTGGTGGACAACGAGGCGAGCTACGTGAAGCAGAGGACATCAGCTGTCTGGCAGCGTCCCCTGAATTCTAGCTGAAACTTCACAACCCCGAAAATCAAATTGGTAACTCTTGGGTGTATTCAATTTTCCTGATAATACCAGTGGTAACAACACCCCAATAAATTATCTCACAGTGGGGAGGTCCATGATCTCCCAGTCAGCAGCCTCCTGGCAGTGGACTGCACCGTGATGCTGCTGTGTTTTGTACGGTGGCTGTCAAGTTGCTTCATTTTTCTTAACAATGTAGTCATGGCATTGAACATTGCGGTGGCCAAAATGCCTCTGAGGCTATTTTATATTCAGGAATAAGTGTGACCTTTACTTATTAATGTGCATGCTTAAAAATCAAATGTGTTAGGCCAAAGCATTTAGATGGGTCACCTGATTTCAGTGAGGACCCTGCTACATGTTCAAATTAAGGCTGGATAGAAACCAGCTATAGTTATTGCACCATTTCCAAGCACTAACTTTATAGCTGGTTGGCTCTTTTTATAGCAGGATAGTCATTTTTACCATGTGGTAATTACTTTTCATATGTGGCTGGTCTAAGTGTATTGCACCAGTTAATTGTGTGATAATGCCTTTGCACTTGGGGCTGATCTTACTTTGCACATGTGACTGGTCTAAATTTATTGTGTGATTAACCAGATATTTGTGTAATATATGTAGCAGGGGCCTGAATCTGATATTTTGTTCACAGAGCTAAGCTGAACATTACAATAAAAAACAATACACCTGTTTCAACTATTGTGCAAAAAGCAAAGGGCTGTATATTTAGCACTTAGAGAATTTGATCTCTATAACCTCTTAACTATTTCCACACTAGCAGCAATGTTACAATTTCTTGCATCGCATTATATTCCATGTAAATATCCAAATGCCAGGGTTGGCAACCTGTGGCCCAGCCTGCAGAGGGACAGAGAGATTCAGTTGAGCCTACGGAAGTGCAGGGCACCACCTTAGAAGGGGTGCACCCTCCTGCTAGCCACCTACCCAGCTGGGGTACGGCTCACCCACCCTCCTTCTCCTCCCTGCACTGTGCATTCCTCTGTCCCTGAATTCTCTCCCCACTGCCCTTTTGCAGCACTCCAGCCCTGCCTGTTCTGTGCTGAGGGCTGCTCTTTTGCTCTCGTGCTCCCTCACCCTTGCTGCTTAATTCATCATTGCCCATTGCCGGGGATGAGAATTGGTGGCACTTGGTAACAACAGTTTGTAGCAAGGGTAGGTGGAGGCAGCAGCAGAGCAAGAGAGCAGCCCTCAGCACACAGCAGGGAGGGTTGGGGCAGCTGTGGGCAGCTTGCGTGCCGTGGAGGGGAGCACTGCACTGAAGCAAGCTGCATCGCAGCAGGCAGAGGGCCCAGTAAGGGGTACAAGAGAGCCCGCCTGGTTTGGGAAATGTTCCTGCATGGCATTTAGTTATGCATCTGTATGGGAGCAATAGTCTGCCTTTGGTAAAAGGCTGTTGATTCCTGTCCTAATGCTTCAGTTGCCAAATTCAGTCTTTACTCAGACAGAACTCCCATTTGGATGCAATGCAAGTGTCGCCTGAGCCGGGGCTGATTGAAAAATGACTAAGTACATCAGGAGATGGCCTTTGAAGAGAGAATACACCTGGCATCAATATTGTCACATCCAGTGTGTTCACTAAAATGTTCTCACCCTCACTAAGCCTATTCCATGTACAGGAAGTACATTTACGCACAGGAAAATGCACAAAAGTAAAGATGAATTCAGGTGAGACTTTAAAATGCATTGAATCCATGGAGGATTATTCTCGCTCAGAAGTAAAGTGATCTTCATTCACTTTAACATAATCAGAGGTGTTAATCTGAGTGATCTTATTTCACTTTGAAACTGGTGGGAACCAAATTGAATTAAGGCTACTTTATTTCTGAAGTGTATCCACACAGGATTTTAATGCAATGTAATTCCTCCTTAAAACGGTTATTCAGAATAATTGTCTTAGGTGGCCAATGTAGACAAGTCCTAAGTATAAATGACAATGAGGATATTTGTTCTTGACTATTTATACATGTAACAATACTCTTCAGTGACTCTTCTCCTGACAGTTGGCTCTTGGCTTCTTAGTAGGCCCTGATACATCACTGCTATTCAACTTTGGTTCACTTGTACATGTTCCAATGACTCTGAAACTTTGGGCTGCTCCAGACACCAGTCTTGCAGTTGTGTAACTAGGGAATCTCCAGCCGTGTTGTTAGTTAACTGGATTTTGGAACAGCCTAAAGGGAGCATGTACATGAGAGACTGTGCACACTGTTGTGTCTGGCCAAAGTTTTTTTTTTTACATCTGATACAGTTGCCTAACAGTTTGGAAACCCATGTTCTATTCAACAATGTGCTGATTTTAGCATGAAGCCAAAAGAATGAGAGGAGTGGGTGGGAGTGGCTGTTTTCACTTCTTAGTGTGAATCTTGAAAATGTCTGGAGGCCACAGGCAAACTTTACTTGCATTGTTCAGCAAAGTAGCAAGCTAAATCGTACTTTGTAGTAATTCTAAGATCTTGAAGGTGTAGTGGACCTGATGTGAGGAGCTCTTTCTGTACTGTGGTTTTATGGAAGCAGGCGCTGACATGAGACGCAGATCAAGCGGCAGAGAGGAAGAGGATGAGGAGCTACAGAGACGTCGACAGCTACAGGAGGAGCAGCTCATGAAGGTTGTTAATGACCCCGTCTTAAATACTTTGTCAGAGTCTTCAATATCCTCTGGAATGGACAATATTTTCATTACATATATATTTTCTCTTCTCATTTATAGCTCAACTCAGGGCTGGGACAGTTGATATTAAAAGAAGAAATGGAAAAGGAGACCCGTGATAGGTCATCCCTTTCTGCCAGTCGTTATGACTCTCCAGTGAATTCATGTAAGCAGCAAAACTGAAATCTAGCTATAAATGGCTGTAAGTGGTCTGTGGTAGCCTGGGCAATGTATAGCTGGATATTGTTTTAATTCCTAAAAACCCTTTGGCTTCTTAAACTTAAGAGAAATGTCAAGTTGAGGGCATTAGACGAAATTTCTTGGAGGACTGACCACTTATACATAGTGAGTGACGCAAAGCCAAGGAATTGGAACTGTGTTGCAAACTATTAAATTACAACAGACTAAACATCCACGTTGCCTAACCTTGATCTTAGCCTTTTAGCCTTTCCCACGTGATAGGAGGAAATCAGCAATGTCTTTAGGGGCAGGGAAGCACCTTACAAAGAGCATAGCAAGTCCTTGTCAGTCTTCTCAGCTAGCATCTTAGTTGGACATACAGCATTCCAGACAAAAGGCAAAAGTATCATCTCCACTTAGCTGGTGGCTTACAGGAAAGTCAACAATGCAGCCGAAAGTGAATCATCCATAGTGCTTTTTTTTTTGTTAATCCTTAATACATCTCTGTAGCCTTCCCAGAACTCTGAGGATTACCCTTTGTGGGTTTCTGTCTCTCTTCACCCTCAGGACTTTGCAGCTCAACATCTGCAGCTCAATATCTTGCTTCAGGCCAAGAAAGAGCAAGAACAACTCTCGGTGGAGTTTGGCATCGTCATTACTGAGTCATCCAAAGGGATGGCTGCAAGCAAAATGAGATTCCCTCATCTTTCTCAGGCAGTGTGTTCTGTCTCTACAGCTCTTCCAGCCCCACTCTATTATCAGGGAGAGAAGGGCCAGCCTTGGACTTAAAACCCCTCTGTCACCTTTCCCAGATCTGGAGTCTCTCCGGTAATGCCAGGACTTAATGATACACCTGGCAGGAATACCACCTTAATGCCAGCCATGCCATGCCTCTCTGCACAGTTACAGCAGTGCCAATCTACAGCACCTCTTCCTCATGTGAATTGCTGCTCAAATTCATTCATGCTCTTTTTTCAAAGCCCCTTATCTTCTCATGTTCCTCATGTCCTTCGTCCCATGTCACCTGTGCCAAAATACATTGTCTTGACCTGGAGACTACAAGGGCAACAAGTCTAGTTGAAAGAATATGTCCAGGAGTGTGAGAAGAAACACTCTCGTGCAAAAAGGAAAAAAGAGGTTTAATTGTGGAAAATGAGTAACGCCATCAACTGTGGAAATACAACTGTAACACCATAATAGTCTTTAGTAGTAGCTACGAGTATGCATAGCCAGAATTACACAGTTACAATGGAAAGTCATAAAAATGCCTTTATGCCTCTACATTTTCTGGTGTCAGCTAGAATATTAGGCAGAAGCTCCACAAAACAAGGCAGCCTAGTTCCTTGTTGTTTCACACCACTCCTAATCAGGTAAGTTACCCTTATGCAATTTTGAGATAACTTTGGATCTGAAGGTTTGATCACACCAAGCCCCAACCCTATTGAGATTCAACCATTAATATTCACTTGGATCTTGATCCTGATGAAATGAATGACAGAACCTCAGAGTGCAGCGGTGTAGGACCAAGCTCAAGTATTTTTTTTCTCCTCTTGTGATATTACAATTGAGGAAGGCTGAGGAATCAAACTGCAAAGTGTGCTAGGTTTCCTGGTCTCCATTTCAAATTTGCTTAAGCTTCAGTTTCAGCTGGGAGTTTCCTTATTGTTGTGACAGTTGCAATAAAGAGAATATAGAGATGAAAGTCATTAGATTTCAGAGGACGTGATAAGATGCTACAAGCCTTTGTACTATGTGAGGAATTGCCTGGAGCAGTTTAACATGGACCCACCCAGTCCAGCCATAGTAAGTGGATTTTCCTGCCCTTTGTTGCTGTTTTAATCACATGAAGCTGCACAAATGAGGTAAGCAATAGCTAGGTCAGTGGTCCTCAGCCTTGGTAGAGTCAAGGCACCCCTCAGAAAATGCCAGCTCTTAGCTTTCACTGATTTATAACTCGGAAAGACCACCACGGGGCAGAATGTTTTTGACTCCTATTTGAAATCTCTGGGTGAATCATTTAGCTGTCTGCACACCTAACAGTACTAATACTGTATGGACTGTATGATGCCCTTCAAAGGATTTCATGGCACCCCAAAGTGCTGCAGCACCCTGTTTGAGACTCACTGAGCTTAGCGAGCCTTGATTTCTTGCCAAATTCTGAACTACGCAGAGAGGTCCTGATTTTACTTGAAGACTCCCTGTCAAAACAGTTGGAGACTTGCTTGATTTTTCCATGCTGCAGGTATTCAACTCAGTGCCACTCCCTGATGACCTCCTTTCATGATGCAGCAAATGATATATTACCTTACGGAACAATTTTGGGGTCATAATCCTTTAATGTGGTCATTGACCTATGGGGCACAGATAAGGACATGTTGATTGGTGGATCTTTGGCTCTGTCAGTCATGTTTGTAGACTTTGGTCGCTAAAGACCCTAATCAATTCTCACAGTGTTCAGATTTTAACTGTTCCAGAGCATTTGTAATGTTCTAATACGAGATTTTTCTCCTCTCGACTCCACAGCACATGCTGCAGCCTCCAAGACCTCCTCTCTTCCTGGCTATGGAAGAAATGGACTGCACAGGGTAAGATGCCAGCAGTGGGGAGAAGCAAAAGTTGGCATTAATGTACAGTCTAGAGAATTTTTTTTCTTCTTGATGCCATATCATTTCTTTAAATTTGACCGGTCTCATTTATTAAATCTAGCATAAGTAAAACAACTCTCAGCTTTCCTTCCCACAACTAGATTCTTTGAGAGATTATGTAAACTGCAACAAAACCTGTAAGCACAAATAGTGCAAATCTAAAGCAAGTTGTTATGCAAGAAAAAAGGGGCATGCTTATAAAACATAGCTAGGGAACTACTCAAATAGCAATTTTGTGATTTATATGGAAACCGTGAAAGACAGCGGTTTCCTTGATTTTGTACAGAATCATCAGGAAAGAAAACCTTATTAAAAATAAAATGCTGGCTTCCCAATGGGATCGGCTCAAGAAATCGCCCGTCTGCTGCCTCGATCTTGGTAGTTCCCTAAACATGACCTGTGTACCCACACCTCTGTCTCTGCTTTCCTGTCACAGCCGGTGTCCACAGATTTTGGTCAGTACAACAGCTATGGTGACGTGAGCGGTGGTGGTCGAGGTAAGGTGAAGGCATTTTTTCATACGCTGCTTCTGTCCCTGAGCGTGCTGCGATGCTCATGTTGGTTTCTACTCTTCCATTTGAAGAGTATAGACATGGCTGGTCTTGCGCCTGTTCAAAGCACTTTACCCCTGGCTGCACTTTGTAAGCTAGTATTTTTGTTAGATCTTCCTTATAGTTCTTATTCTCATGGATCTGGCACTAGTGTAAATGGAGTTAGGCCATATGGATGCGCTCAAGGATGTGCAGAGTTCTGCTTTCCTCTTGTTACTTATTCACAAATGATAAACCCTAGACGCTCTGGTCTGAAAGGCCGTGAGCTCGGCAGTTAGGTGCCAGGTAAACTAGGAGCGCTAAGCCCAGCTCTGTCTCTGGCTTGTTATGCAACTTAGATAGGTAATGTGTTTTGTCCAGTGTCTCATTTTCCCGTTTTGGCAGGGTGAGCATGCAAATAGTTATATTCAGGCAAAGAAGAGACTTTATTTCTGCTGGGAGCAGCATGCAATGTATAAGTCGCAAGGTAGTTTTGCAGAGCACTTTCTGATCTGCTACTGAGGTATGCAGTCTCATTTTTTGAGTGTACAAATGCATCTGGGATTTGAATGGGCTGTTTTAAAAATGAAATCAACTGTGTAAAAGCAACATCCTTCTTTCAGGTTTGTTCCTAAAACTCAGGGTTGTAAGGTATTAGGATTGCATAGGTAAGTTCTGAGTCTGATCTCTCCTTTACTGGTTTTATTCAGGACTCCATCATAACCAGTAACCCTCCTGACAGCAAGATAAGGGCTGTTCATAGGTACCAATCACATGCGGTACTTCCAGCTTACATTAGAGGTTGTACTGGTTCTGGTAATACAGATGCCCAAGCCCAGAGTGACAAAAGACATCAAGAGAGGAGTGAGCCTTCTCTAAGGGAGGAGAAATGCTTTACAGCCTTTAAAACATATTTGAGCGTCCACTTTTGTGGGCCACCCAAGTGGCTTTGGACCTAGGGCTGCCACGTGACATCCCTCACTCCTTAAATTTGCAGCTATCAAGGCTCTCCTAGCAGTACTGGAGATTAGATTTGTCTCTTCCTAGAATTACCTTTTTGGGCCAGGAAGAGAGTCCCATACAATCCTCCTCAGCCAAGGGAAGCTGCTTTAATCTGGGGAATTGAGAGGGGGAAGCAGGAATGAGTGCTTTTTTCTGCTTTTCCTGTGTGATTTTACCTTCCCTTGCAAATGAGTGTGTGGAAAATAAAGTGATTAATTTTGAATAAAGTTTGTGTTCACATGTGTTTAATACCTGGTTACTAAGCCTGATTAGGTACTCATGTGTCACCTGGGTTAGTGGCCCTGGTTGACTCATTGCATCTTCTTTTGAGGAGGAAATAATGAGGTTATTCTGCTGCTGGCATAGGACTGCTAACGCGCTTGGCCAGTGTGCAGTACAGCACTCCAGAAAACATCGTACTATATGCTGCTGGTAACTCTGTCTACAAGCTCCCCTTGTGCTGCGCTCCTCCAGAGGTGGTACAAGACGCCTCCCCACGTGTTTCCGTGATGCAGACACTGTTCGATTGTTCTGCAGGTGTTTGTGGCTGGTCATTGTGGGTGTTGTGATCTGCTCACAAAACACATGATTATACTTGTGGCGTAGGCTTAGACTGGAATATGAACCTAGACCTCTTGACATGACACAGCTGGATTTGCTCAGCCATCTTACGTTGTTTATTTGGCTTACTCCCCTGATATTTTTCCAAAAGATTTTAAGATTGATCTTAAGGTCTTAGTACCTGGGATTTCTTAATTTTCTCTCTGGCAAGCAGGGAATCTCTTGTAATAACCTTCAGTGCATTCAAGCAGAAATGATGTATGTATGAACCACTACTCTAAAGCAGAGGTACACAGTCCCCAGTCCGTGGGCCAGATCCGGTTGTCCAGCCCACAGGAGCCTCCATGGCCCCCTGGCTATGGCCCTGCATGCTGGATTGGGTGTACAAGGCAGCCTGGAGCACAGTCCTGGCACATAGGGCCTAATGGGTAGTGCAGGGCTCCAGAGTCCATCCCCGATGGGTGGGGGCAGCATGGGCCCTGGAGCCCAGTCCCAATGCACAGGGCCAGGCAGAGGCAGCACTGGTCCCCAGGGCCTGATCCTGGCACAGGGTGGGGGGGCATGCTGTCACAGCACAGAGTCTGATCCTACCCACAGACCAGCCCTGTACCATTTTTCTGGTAGGCAGAGCCAAAATGGTGAGCATCAGTACTGTAAAGGTTCAGGAGGGCAGGATCCTAATGGAACTAGTTGTGTGCACATATAAAGCCTTTATGAGTTTCCAGTGAGCTAGCCCAGAACTGCAAAGTAGATCCAGTATTTCAGTTTGACCTAATGAATGAGTCAACTAAGACATGAGTCTGCAGGGGGAAAGTCAAACAAACTTCTCGTAGCCTCACCTGGATTAAACAATAGGAAGCCTGCACTTGTTTCCTTCTTTCTGACTTGTACTGTAGTTTGTTATACAAGCCAGAACAAGGATAACTGCTATGTTTTAATATACATGATATTACTGTGCATGTGCGCGCACGCACACACATACACGTTATATAAGGACAGAGAGAGTGAGAGAGAGAGAAAGAGAGAGAGAGTCTTGCTACAAGGAAGCCAAATGGCAACTTCTGTATATGTAAAAAGCTATAGGAATAGTCCAATGTATGTACATGCATCAGCATATTAATTGCTATAGACACGATTATATGGTAATACAGCTAGAGGTGGACAATTTGTCTTAAACATCACAGTTAGTTTAGGGAATACTCTTCCACCTTCCTATGACATTTTCCCACTGCTCTTAAGAGATGGTTTATTCAACTGTCCAGCATAAGAAGACACTGTCCAGTGTACAGCTTAGCAGCTGCATGCTGCAGTGCTGGTGTTAAGGTGCAGATGCACAACACAAGGACTATAGAGTTATTTGTCTTAGATTTTGCTCTGCAGTGAATTTACTCCTAGTGGGCATGTCTACATGGGATGTTTACTGTGGAGTTGCCTGCTTAGCACCACAGTAAGCTACTTGGTGTTTACAAGTGTGGCCCTATTAGACCACAAGAAACTAATAAACTCAGCTGCAGATCAGTACTTGTAAATACAAGTATTATCTTGCTGTGGAGTTTTTCTGTGCACAGCAACACACTGGTAGACGCTGACCTGACTGGCTGGGGCATGAGGGTGATTCATTGTGGGGGCTACCTGCTGACTAGCCCCCCCACTGGAGCACCCTTGTGCCCAAGGCAGCCCCTTTGCAGCACACTGAGCTGGGTTGGAGCACCCCTGGGCTGCCAGGCTGACACCCCCCCCAGGTCCCCTGCCAGCCGTGCTGCCTAAAACATGCTGTAGTCCCAGGTGCTCATGTAAACGTGGTGCCCAGGAGCAGTAAACTCTGTTGTGATATGCACCAGAGCATATTGCTGCATATGAATATGCACACGTACATGTGCCCGGTAAGGACCAAACATGTATCCAGCTGCCTGCCATGGGTGCTAGTACAGTACCTGATCACTAGGTAGAGGAGGAGACCGTTTACATCGAGCAAACTGCCCCCTGCAGATGAAAATTATTGAGGAGACTGGACACAGGACACATTCTGCATACTAAAATTAATGCGCAGTCTTCAAGGGATAACTTTACTCTGGATCAGAGTGGTTTACTCTATAGTAGGTGTGTGTGTCACTTGTCCCCTCCACTTTTACTAGGTAGTAAAGTCAGTTTGTTACATATGAAATGTCTCGTGTGTTTGCACTTTTAATTAATATTTGGAAAATGGCTGAAGACCCTTGGATGAAAAGCCTCATTCAAATTCAGAAAACTGTGGTACATGATGCCACTGTCTCTTTGCAAGCCAATACTAGCATTAGGAAGGCTCAG